TTTACAGACTGCAATTTTCTATTCATTCATCCAGCATCCAGCAGCAATGCCTATGATTGCAAGATACAAGAAGGAGCATGGAACCACCTCTTGATTGCAGTTATTCCCAGGTTCACCTTGATCCAGAGTGGTAGCACCCATTAGTGTCCAAACCATGGGCGAATAGTGAAGCCCCAAACAAAACCCTATGAAAGTAAAAAAAATAAATTTTTATACTAAGAATACCAGCAATACATTTCTATATAAAAAGTATTACCAACAATACCTCTTTATTTTAAGACATTGTTATGTTTATACATTCTTTTTATAGATACAAATATTTAAGTAAATGTTCAGTTTATAACAAACAGTATTTAACAACATTTACTGGCCTGAATGACTTAGAATTTTTCATATAAAATTTTTCGTCCTCTGACAGGAATCAAACCTGTATCCTATATGGAACAGTCATATAGCCTGACGTGTCTATAACAAATTTGGTCACAGAGGAGCGTTTGGTTAGCAAGGTCAAATTTTACTGCCTTTAAATGTTGTTTAATACTGTTTATTATAAACAGAGCATTTACTTAAATATCTGTATATATAAAAAGAATGTATAAACATAAAAATGTCTTAAAATAATTGTCAGATTTTGTCCATTTCATAATGTGTGATGTTATTTATTTACATTTAGATACGCTTTGAGCAGATATGAATGTACGTGAGAGATTCATGGAAGATTGACGTTTAAAGGCAGTAAAATTCGACCTTGCTAACCGAACACTCCTCTGTAACCAAATCGGTTAAAGGCACATCAGGTTATATGACGTTTCCGTATAGGATACAGGTTTGATTCCTGTCAGAGGACAAAAATTTTCTATGAAAAATTCTCAGACATTCAGGCCAGTAAATGTTGTTTAATACTATTTATTATAAACAGAGCATTTACTTAAATATTTGTATCTATGAAAAGAATGTATAAACATAAAAATGTCTTAAAATATTGTCAGACTTTGTCCATTTCATAATGTGTGAATACCTGTCTATAATAAATTACCAACAATACACACATACAAACTGTAGTGACTTCACCCAAATCCATTTACAATACTACCAAACACTCAACTCTTTCATAACATTAAAACATATAACATCTGACAATTTCTTAAATCAAACTGCTTCCCAAAACATAACTCCAACAAAAACCACAATTCTTCACAACTTCCTGTCTTTTATTTTTTCATGAACCCTCTTTGTCTCTGCCATACTTTTTTGGATTTGCTCAAACTTACCAGGTTAGTTTCTTCTTACTTTTCCTAATTTCTGTAAGGAAACACATGACTTACCTTGGAATTAGAAAAGAGTGCAAACATGTCTTGCCTGCAAAGTGATGACAAAAAAAAATATGGCTGCTATTGAAGACACAATTTATGCCCACCTATCTCATCCAAGACGTAATGATATTTGCACACATGCAAATTTTGGCTGTCTTGGAATAGCATAAAAAGTGGAGTGCCAGCAGCACTGGGAGCAAAGTCATTCGGCAGACTGTGTGTGTTAGAGTTGGATGTACAGATTGACAGACATGTAGACAAAGAGGAAGTTGAAGTAGGCGTGGCTGAGTTGGTGTCTGTTTCACAACTGCCCAGTGTAACAGTCGAGAAAGGGAGCCACGCAATCCATTTCTTTGAGGCTACCAAAGAAGAAGAAAAAGTGAGCGCCCCCCCCCATCATCATTTATTTTTCTCTGCAATTTCCCTTATCTTCAATGCATCCTGAGAGTGTTAAATTCTACAAAATTTTTTGTCTTCCACAGATTTCACATGTCTCTTTCTAATTATTCATGGCAATTTGTTTCTATTCTTCTTCAAATTTCCTCATTTCTCATTTGCTCTGTCCATAATATCCTCAATCTTCATTGGTAGAACAGCCTCTCTGTTGCCTCAATTCTTTTCTTCTGCAACAAAATTGTCACATATTCACTGTCAAATAGGAGATTGGACATTTCAGTCCTTTAAGGTCTTGTTCAGCTTTGGAAAAAGTGCACTTCACTATTGTTGTGGGCAATTACGCATTTCCCAACTTGTTGCAGGTATTAGTAATGTCAGTGTTTGAAATTGGGAATATCACACAGTCTCCAGCAAAACCCACAACAAAGATGGCACAAAGATGTGAGTTCACTTAAGAAATGCAAAGAAACCAATACATGTACAAACAAATGATAATGTAATAACAAGAAAAGTACACAAGTGACAAAGACAATGATACGTGTAACAAAAGAATGCGAAAACCGTTTTTTGTCCAAAGTATGTGTGGTGAGTGAATGTATGTGTTTCATTCATATGTTGCCCAAAGGGAATGCATTCTCTGCGAAAGATTTACATGTTGACAAATATGCAGATAAGGTAAGAAAAGAGCGAGAAAAAATATATCAGAATATTTATAGTCTGGAGAGCACCTCCTAGTAGCGATTTAGAAAATTAGGATGAGATAACTCAACACTATGTATCTGTAGGCTTATTTCTCCAGTGTCTGTTACTATATTGCCTATTTGTTTTCCATATCCCTAATATTTGACTTAACTCTTGGGGAATCTCTTTTGCTGACAGCCAGGCATTCAATTTTCTTGAAGTTTATGGTTCATTGTTTCATATAAAATATTTCAGATTCTGTTGCACAATCCCTATCTTGCATTAATACAACTACAAGTTTCTGATATTTAAAACATATTGGCATGACTTATAGAGTTGCCAGATGCCAAGAACATTTTATATTTCCTTTTTATGCATGAGAAATGCATATGCATCCTTAAAACATGGATTTGTTAAACTTTAAAGATCTAATATGAGTTTCTCATATATATATATATATATATATATATATATATATATAATACTTTTGTAATGCCTGGTTCAAGGAGAGACTTTGTAAATCACAGATACAACAATAGTAACACCTTCGACAATACTCGGTCAGGCACCGCTAATTCCCATATAGATAGTTTTACCTTACCCATCACATGATCTAATTATTTCAAGATGAGGTTGACTGTGCTTGCTCTTTGGCAATCTGTGTTCAAACCCAAGTGTTGGCAGTGATAGTCTATTCCTATATGACAAATACTATATAAAGTACAGTGTCTGCATGTACGTTTGTGCATGTGTGTGTTCAAGCAACTCCACTCCCACTGGTCTGATTTCAATGATTCATAGCTCATGCAAAAGTCCTAAAAATGTTAGGCATAGGGAATAATTTTCATTGAGCTCAGATTCAGGGTTGCCAGATTATATGAGGTTAAAAATATATATTAATATATTATATTTCATAATATAGGTTTTTTACTTAATTAGCTATTATGTTTCTCTAACTCTTCAAATGTTGAATGTATAACTAATTCTAATTTCTATTTTCCCATCTTTAGACTATATTAATTTTATCTTATAAATTGTCCCGTTTTGTCACCCATGTAATAAAAATAATTGTTTGTACAGAAAATAATGATCTATATACATCAAATCATCTTTACATTAAGTGGCAAGTGAAGAAGTAGTGTTGAACTTTTAAAAGGTATGCTTAAACATTAATTCATTACTTAAATGCAGCAATCAGTTTTGAGTTCTTCTGTAGTATATAGATGCCTATCACATCTACTCCTCCCTAGCTTAAATGCTGCCCAATAGGGTGGCTTTTAAGCTAGTAATACTATAAAATAGTCACTTTGAAAGATTACAAATAAAAACTGACAAACTTCACTGTATCCATGAAGAACTGTTTGGAATAAAATTGATGGAAAAGGTTATAGCAAAGATTATAGAAAATGGGCATAATCACATTGACCCGCCAATGTCAATTACGAAATCTGACTCCAAATGGCAAGTTTGTAATAGCCAACTTAGGCAATGAACATTTTTTTATGAGTTGATTTATAGCTTCAGCTAAAGTTTTAACATTGTTCTTCGACTAAAAGTATCAATGTGAAAATGTATCAGAAAAACCAATAACTTATAGTCAGCACCATAATAAAAAAAACTGGCTAAGCATGAGTTATCTCATATATGTGTTAAATGTAAAAGTTTTATAATAACAAACCAATATTCATTCTGTCAAATATGAATCTTTGTCTTAAAACTTTTCATTTCACTAAATGATCAATAAAAATTCTCTTGAGAATTTTCTTAATTCTTAAGGAATCTCCTGTAACAACAAGATAAAGTATTCTAATGAAACACCATTATCAAAGTCACACTGAAAAAATATCTTGTCAGTTTTCCTGGAATGAGATACTTCATTTCGAACTATATTTTGGAAAAGTTCTTCATCTTAAATACTTATGTATTGATGCAAGAACTTCAGTTAGGTTGGTCCAAAATAAAATCTGAATGCAATGATGGGATGATGTAAAAGTTGTAAGAAGCTGGTAAGAGGTGAGGGTGATATTAATGGTGCTAAATTTTGCCTGAATCCTTATGATAAGAGACTGCAGTGTGTGATATGTATTATATATCATTAAAGATTATCACCTTCAAAGGTTGGCATTCAGTTCATATGAATACATACACACACACACACACACACACACACACGTGTGTGCATTTGTTTATACACACACACACACATATATATATATATATATATATATATATATATATATATATATATCTCAAATGGTGCCATACTTATCATGCCAAAAATTTAATAGGAGTTCATTTAGTCAGACAGGAAATCCATTTCTGATTTTATTCTCTGCTTCCTACACTTTGCATCTTTGATCTGATAAGGTGACCAGTTTTATTTTTTTTTTTCCTTTGTCCAAATTCCTTTCTGCACATTTTTATGTTTAAAATTCTTCTTCTTTGCTGCTTTTCCTGACATTTCAATTTTCTTTTCATTTGTGTGATTTTACAGGATCTTCGTATTTGCCCTTTTCTTGCTAAAGTTTGCATTGAGTCTTATGTAATTCTGAAAGGTTTTTTTTTCTTTTGTTTTTCCTTCAACTTTTACTCTTAAAAACTTAGGTAATAATGGTCTTTCCTGCCAGTTTGATACCATTGTCTCCCCTTCCATCCATGTTGGTCCCTGTCTCCCCTTCCATCCATGTTGATAGACTGCTTGCCTTCTGTCCTCGATACTTCTTTGTCTCCCCTTCTGTCCTTCTCGATACTTCTTTGTCTCCCCTTGCATCCTTGTTGATAGCCGTCTCCTCTTCAGTTCTTGTTGATACTTCTGTCTCCCCACTTGCATCCTTGTTGATACTTCTGTCTCCCCCTCTGTCCTTGTTGATACTTCTGTCTCCCCCTCTGTCCTTGTTGATACTTCTGTCTCCCCCTCTGTCCTTGTTGATACTTCTGTCTCCCCCTCTGTCCTTGTTGATACTTCTGTCTCCCCCTCTGTCCTTGTTGATACTTCTGTCTCCCCCTCTGTCCTTGTTGATACTTCTGTCTCCCCCCTCTGTCCTTGTTGATACTTCTGTCTCCCCTCTGTCCTTGTTGATACTTCTGTCTCCCCTCTGTCCTTGTTGATACTTCTGTCTCCCCCTCTGTCCTTGTTGATACTTCTGTCTCCCCTTCCATCCTTGTTGATACTTGTCTCCCCTTCCACCCTAGTCGATGCTTCTGCCTCCCCTTCTGTCCTTGTCGATACTCCTTTGTCTTCCCTTCTGCCCTTGTCGATACTCTTTTGTCTCCCCTTCTGCCCTTGTCGATACTCCTTTGTCTCCCCTTCTGCCCTTGTCGATACTCCTTTGTCTCCCCTTCTGCCCTTGTCGATACTCCTTTGTCTCCCCTTCTGTCCTTGTCGATACTTCTTTATCACCTACTCCTGTACTTTGTCATGGATGACATAGTAATATTATTACTTCATATAATAGAAATATTCCACCAGAATCAAATTTGTAATGCTTTCTTCAAATTCTCAATACATTTTTAATACAGCAGCCTATGACTTTTAGTTAGAAATTTATATTTCTAAAATTAAAATACCTGTCTTAATTCCTATGATGTAATGCCTGCGAGAAGATGCCCATATTTGCTGAGGTGGTAATAAGTTAAAAACTTATTAAGTTCAAATTTCAGTTGAAAGTTTTCTGTAGCTTTGAAGTTCAGATCATTTACATTAAAACCTATTAACCAAGAACCTTACACTTTTTCTATTTTTCACATTTCCCTATTGTATGGTGTTTTATTTCTAATGTGGTTCATTTCAGGCATAAAGAGTCAGCACTTTTCTCTAACAGGATTGAAATTCGATGCAAGTCTTTCTTTCATCAAAGCTTAACAGTCATCATTCCCAGATTGCATATTAAAGTTTGAGTTAAATAGAATAGACACTAACTTAACATTCACTAAACACTGTACATATGCTATTGGTTACTTATAATGTTTTGTTTCAAGTTCACACATTAGATAAGTAAATATAATTAACTTTTCAAGGTCAGTTGTTTATTAAAATGTTTTTTATACATTTCATATTGCTGAATTTGATTGTGAATTGCTATATTTGAAACATTTAGCTTCTTTAAAACTGATAAAAAAAGAATATTAAAACATGACTCTTTTTTTTGATCTGCTGTTAGATTGCAATGATCCCAACACATAAAGTTAGAATTTAGTTACACCTTTTTTTCTTATTTGTGCTTTTGTTTTTCTGGCTCGTTTTCTGCTTTTCTTTCATTCTCTCTTTCTCTATTCTATTTCTTTATACTGTTTTTATATTTCTCACTTATCTTTTTCTCCTGTAAAAAATTTTCCTTTCCCTCTCTATTGCTCTGTTTCCTTTAATTCCATTTTTAGTCTATCTACTTTCCTCGGATGTGTGAAAGTATAATGGGTAGTGGCCTGGAATGAGAAATTGGAGAGTATTGTTCAAATTCCATTTGAGTTGGTTAAATTCACATGCACAAATATCCACAGGAAAGGTTACATCTCTTCGCACCATTATCTATGGGCTAAATAGTCGGATTTGTATATTGTAAAATCATTGCTATCTCAAAAAAGATAATCAGTCAAATATTCAGTCACAAAAAAGAATTATTTAAACTATTGTGGCCATATATTGATCTCACAGTTACTTGGTGGCACATGGCCTAGTGTATTAAAGCATTGCCTGAAGTATTCCAATGACTTGACCTGAAAAGTTGTGAGTTCAATACCTGGCCACAGCAGACATGAACAAAAAAATTTGGAGAGTTACTGAAATATCTGGAAAAGGCATGCCACATGAGACTAAAACAATCTTCCCCGGTGAATACAATAAAGAGTTCAGTTGAAAATTCTAATCACCTGAAGAAGGCTGGAGCATACAATGGCTGAAACATTGTGAATATGACAACAAAGATGAGCACAATAGTTCAAGCAAGATAAATAATATAAATAGTTAGAATACCTCATTTCAGAACTATAGACAGATAAAACAGAATTATTCCTAATCTCCAGAACTTTTTAACTTTAACTAAACCACAAAAGGTTGATAAGCTGTAAAAGAAAAAATAAAATCCTATCCACTTCCTTCTACTTTGACTCCACCCTCTGACTTTCCACATTGTAAAATAAGGTCAGTAGTAAGTCGCTTCCTATGGACATCTTTCAAACATATTCTATTGCTGCAATGATAAATGTTTCAATATGAATTTCCATTTGTTACATCACATTAATAACTCCAAACAATCTGTTGCAAACACAGCCAGAGAAACAAAGTAAAAACTTTTCTTTTCTTTTTAGTGTTTCATTTCTCCAATTTATCTGGACTTCTGACACTTGGAAAGTTAAATGATTTGCACCTAGAATCTCTGATTACGTCCCACATAAATTTACGTCAAACCAGCATTGAATGTATTGTCAAGATTTTAGTTCACATTTCAGGTAGAGGAATCTTCTCCCCATAAATTGAGCCAGAATTAATCGAGACAGAACTCAAAATAAAAACCATATATTTATCTGATCATAGACTGTTGAATATGCATAGGCATTAATAAGTTGACAGCTTAAAGTTGGAAACACTCGTTAATGTAAGCAAACTTTTATGATCTGAAATACGTTTCAGCTTTAAATAACCCACAATGAATCAAAAGTTGTAAAGACACAAATCAGTCAATCAATCACTGAACAAGGAAAAACTTAATTTTCCATGATTGTTTGTTTCAACATATTCTTCCAAAAGGGATTTGACAGCAAAGCTTCAACAGCAGCAGCCATAGTGGGAAAAGTAAATCTCAGTGAGAGAAATCTAGCAGGACAAGTAGCAACTTAAGTTTAAGGCTCCAAGTTCCCCACTCAGAATTATCCCACATGAGAATAGCCTAGTGAATTAAAAGGTTAGTTTGGTGACATAGTAATTGTGAGTTCAATCCCTAGGTCAGACAGTGTATAATTGGACTCAAAATACTGTACTAAAATAAGAACATGAACAATGGAGCAATCTTCTGCTATATATCAAATAAAGAGTACAGTTCCCTGAAGGTTACCCAGATCAACAAGCACCTGAAGATGTCCAAAGGGTACAACAATTGAAATGTTGCAAATACAACAACAATGATAAAAACAATAGTCAGCATGTAAATGATGTAGATATTCTCCTTTTGTTTCATTTTTGGTTGCCACTGCAATGTTTGTCTACGTGTTTCTCAACTTGGTATCTAAGCTGTTGACACAACCATTTATTCTTGTCTTAATATTAAGTCTGATTGGTTCAATAAGATCAAATTTCCAGCTGATCTCAAAAACAATCTACTCTCTGTTGTTAACTGGGGCAAGTAGTGGCTTGTTAATTTTAAAATCTCTAAAATGAAACTGCTCTCTTTTAATCCTCTGAGAGAACCCTTTTCACCTTCCATCAGTATGGCTGATGCTAACCTTCAGGGGCAATTCATTGCGTGTTCTTGGACTAATATTTTCTGCTGATGTGAAGTTGCAAGATTATATTGAATCATTTGCTAGGTTTGATGATAAGAAATTGTTTCCCTGTGTTCACCAGAATCTTAAATATTTATCATTGTTTTGAATATTGCTGCCACATGTTGTCTGGTGCTTCTGCTGTACATTTAGATATTCTTGATAAAACCCACAGAAGAATCTGCAATGTCAATTGTCCTGACTGGGAATCTTGCCTTTAGTAACTTTTCCACTGCCATAATGTAGCTTCCCTCTACTGTTTCTATAAATACTTTTTTGGCAATTGTGCTGGTGAACTTAGTTCTATGGTACTAGACTTTATGAATTTAAATGCAGTACTAGATTAGTGGTAAGGTCTTATTATTTTACAGTTGAAATGGCTAGATGCAACCGTAAGTTCTATGCTAACAGTTTCTTCGATTGAACTTCTCACTTGTGGAACTCTTTTTTGGCTTCTTGCTTCCCAGTCAACTTGGATCTTAAATGCAATATCAGCCATTATCTACTGTCTTCTTGATAGTTTCTTTTAATGTTCTCTCTCATTAATAATGTTTTTTCTCATATTTTCTAACACTCATCTTAGTGGCTTTATTGCCTTACTTGGTGTGAAATGATAAATTTTTTTTAAAAATCAATTTCATATCACAACTTCTGATATTTCATGTAAAAAATGATGTCTGTCTTTTCATTTGTAGATGATTGCGACACACACACAAAGAATGTCAGGCAACACGTGTTTTTGTTACACACATAAGTTTCATGACAGGTTTTCTAGTTGAACTCATTGCATTATACATTGATTAATAGGTATGAGTTTTGAATAATGACATTATACATTGATTAATAGGTATAAGTTTTGAATAGTAAATATCTAAAGAAATAATGGATTTTTTATTAATTGACAAAAATTAATGAAAAATATGAACCTTCTCGCAAGATCCAAACCTGCATCCCTTTTGACAGGAGAAACTGTTGTTAGATCCAACATGCTCATACCGACTCAGCCATGAAGGACTTTGCCAATCAAGTAAGGCTGAATAATACCTTTTCTTTAATATTCAGGCCATTAGATGATAATAAATATGCAGTTTAAAAAATATAAAAATTGGAACATCTACTCAAATATCCAGTAAAAATGACGTTTAAGTGATAAAAATAATATATTTGTAATTTTTGAAAGAGAGGAGGAGACAGAAACGGTTTATACACAGAGATCAATACTGCTTGGTGACTGGCAGTTTCATATTTTAAGCAATCATCAGTTCATGAACACTTAATGTGGCACTAACAGTAATAATCAAGTATTTTTTTAATCACTTCACCACAATCAAGGCAATAAAGCCACTAAGATGCAAGGGATTACTGGGTGTTAGAGAGTGAGAAAAACTACTATTAAGGAGAGACTTAAATAAAAGAACAAAAATAAAATATACAGGTGATAACAGTTGATATTGCATTTAAATTCTTGAAGTTCAAACTTGACGGGAAGCAAGAAGCCAAAAGAGATTTTCACAAGCAACAGATGTGTGATAGAAGAAACTGTTAGCATAGGATTCAGTTACATCTAGCCATTTGAACATGAAAAATGATGACACCTTGATTCCAATCTAGTACTGCGCTTAAATTCCTAAAGT